TGACTACTGTATATGTTTGCGAAATAGCATAACTTGAATCATCATTTTATTTATCAACTATTTAGACACCATTGGTGTTGACAGTTCGATACAACCGTATATTGGGGTGTTGTCTCCTATCCCCATGCAAGGTAAATTGTTGCACGGTATCTGAAGACGTTTTTCCGTGTTGTTCCATTTGCCCGTGGGTGGCTGCATACTTTTAAGCTCCGAAATTTTTATCGATTTTCTACTAGAATACTTCGTTCTTTTTACCAATTTTATATGATCTTTGGATCCATACTATTTACGGGCTATCGACATGCTGGTTTATTCAAGAAAGATACTTATTTCAATGCGAAATTGCTGGAAATCACGTTATGAATTTGGATCGGGTGATCGATTAATGCATCGACCTTTGCCATGTTATGTGTGGGAGAAACTTAAGTTTTACAACTTGCTGTCGCTCGCCAGAGGGCAACGTGGCGGTAACCATCTAAGGAGAGCAAGTGGAAAAGTTATAAACACCATTAAACCATTCGTTAGGTGCCAAAATGCTATTGCAAAGCAACGTGGAATGAATAGTGCCAACTTATTAAATATTCAAATTTCCATCTTGAATACAAATTACAACACTAGAATTACTGAAGCAGAACAGAATAACAACGTTGTTCATAATTCTGGATACAACAAGCTTCTGCCACGTTTTTGCTTGATGAATGTACGATCCTTGCTGCCGAAAATTGACGAACTGTCTGCCTTTGCGTCATCTACCCCAATGGACATCATTGCCATTACTGAATCGTGGTTAAACGAAGACATTGATAATAATATTTTATCTATCAATGGCTTTAATATACACCGCAATGACAGGTCTACTGGTCGTGGCGGTGGTGTTTGTGCATACATATCTTCGCATATCCCCTCGAAAAGAAGGCAAGATCTCGAGAATGCTGCTTATGAATGTATGTGGGTTTGGCTTCGCCCTTACCGCCTCCCACGTCCGTTGTCCGGAATAATGTTAGGCCTTGTTTATTGTCCTCCGGACGCTACTGCACAGAAACAGAACGATCTTGTTGAATATATTATTGATAGTGTAGACCTGATTCGGTCTGCACATCCTGATTGTGGTATTGTTATCTCAGGCGACTTTAATTGCTTAGATATCACTGATATTTTGACGAACCATAATCTTAAACAGGTCGTTCAAGATCCAACCAGAGGTAACAATATATTAGACCTAATTGTGACGAACTTATCTCATCTGTACCGTGCACCGGTTATTTTTGCTCCTCTTGGTAGATCTGACCATAATACTATCATGTGGTCTGCAGACACCAGTTCTAATAATACAGTCAGGTCGCGCGCAACAAAGCGTTATGTGCGTCGCTTCACACAATCATCATGTCAGGCTTTTGGTAGGTGGTGCAGTACTCATGAGTGGTTCACAGACATCCAGGAACCCGTCAGTGCTACTAACCTGACTGTGTCTTTCACTACGGAGCTTCATTCAGCTATCGACCAGTTCTTTCCGACCAAATTAATCAAAATCCACGATACTGACAAACCGTGGATGTCACCTATCCTGAAGCAACTTATTATGAAAAGACAAAGAGCCTTCCATAGCGGCGATGAAGCGTTATGGCGTCATTATAGGAACAAAGTGCAGTATGAGATTCGTTCACGGAAACACACTTATTATGTTAATAAGGTCCAACACCTAAAATTCTCTAATCCTAAGAAATGGTGGGACTGTGTCAAACAAATTTCTGGGAAAAAGAAGGCGTCATCTAGCCTATTAATATTATCAAGGACGGCGTTGCTCTTTCTGGGACCAATCTTGCTAACGTAGTAAACGACCATTTCCTGTCTATCAATGCTGATCTTCCACTCCTCGATCTTGGTTCCCTACCAGCTTACTTACCCGCTCCTCAGCCGGTTCCAATAATTACACCTATTGAGGTCTGTCATAAACTCCTCAAAGTCAAGCCTTTTAAATCGCATGGCCTGGACGGTATTCCAAACCGCGTAATTAAAGAATTTGCATATGAACTAGCTGAACCAGTGTGTATCATCTTTAACGAGTCATTATCTTCGAGCATAGTTCCATCTGATTGGAAGGACGCTAGCATAACTCCTATTCCTAAAACTCAGTCTGTATGTTGTGAGGACGAACTCCGTCCAATCGCCCTTACCGCATGCTTGTCCAAGATCCTCGAAGACTTCGTTGTAAGATGGATGATGGATGATATCAGAAGCAAAATAGACCCCAAGCAGTTTGGCAGTCTAAAGGGTTCATCTGCAAGTTTTTGTTTGATTGATATGGTAAATAATTGGCTGCGTACCCTTGACGCCCCCTCGCACTATCTTAGAGTATGCTTTTTAGACTTCAGTAAGGCGTTTGACCGGATAAATCACAACATCCTCATTGGAAAACTAATATTACTTGGCGTTAGAAGATGCATTATTCCATGGATCTGTGACTTTCTTTCTAATCGTCGTCAACTAGTTAAAATTGGTGGATTTCAGTCAGCATGGGGAAGTGTTAACGGAGGTGTCCCACAAGGAACTAAGCTGGGACCGATATTATTTCTTGTTATGATTAACGATCTAGAACTAAAGTCTCCACATACAAGTCACTGGAAATATGTTGACGATCTTACTCTTTCTGAATCTCTATCTATTCGTGACCAATCGACATTACAATCTGACCTAGATGAAATACAACAATGGGCAGAGCAGAATGACATGCGTTTGAATGTTAAGAAATGCAAAGAAATGGTGATTAGCTTTTTAAGACAAAGTCCAAACATTGTCTCCCTGCATATCAACGGGAATCCACTCAGTATCGTATCATCATTTAAAGTACTTGGTGTCACCTTTAATGACCATCTGAAGTGGAATGATAATGTCAACATTCTCGTGAAGAACGCTTCTAAGCGCCTGTACATTTTGCGCATATTGCGAAGAAGTGGCGTTCCATCGGCTGACCTGCTGCCAGTTTTCATTGCCCTGGTACGTTCAGTCCTAGAGTACGCATGCACAGTTTGGCATACGAGCCTCCCAAATTATCTTTCAAACAATATTGAACATGTTCAGAAGCGTGCCTTGCGTGTATTATACCCAGGTCTGCATTATATCGACGCACTCCAAATAGCCCAAATCCCTCGCTTAGACACTAGGAGACACGATTTGTGTACGAAAACCTTTGAGAAGATTGCTAAACCCAACAACCGACTGAACCACCTTCTGCCACCAACACGGGTGGCCGCGCACGGACGGACTTTGCGTAATAAGGACTGTCTGTCTCTGCCAAAGTGTCGTACTAATAGATACAAAAATAGTTTTATTCCAGCAATGTGCTTTGAGTTAATGAACAAACTTCAATGATAGTTTAATTAGTTGTATATTATATATATATATATTTTAGTTATATATTATATATAGATTTTAATATTTTAGATAATTTATTGAATTTATGTAAACATATCATAATTCATTGTATTAATGCCAAGATATGTGAATAAACCATTTATTATTATTATTATTATTATATATATATATATATATATATATATATATATATATATATATATATATATATATATATATATATATATATATATATATATATATACGAGTAGGTTTGTGTATACGAGACGCAAAGAGTGCTCAATATCATAAAGATAGAGCAAATGTAGAATTTCGCTTACCTCAAAATTCCGCAACAGTCTGTTTCATCAGTAAAGATATATATATATATATATATATATATATATATATATATATATATATATATATATATATATATATATATATATATATATATATATATATATATATAGTTATATATATATATATATAGTTATATATATAGTTATACTATAACTATATATAATCATAGATATTATTGATTTTATCATATATAGAATACATAATTGAAATGTACAGTATACTAAGAAACTGGAGTACCTAGAAAGAACCCACGACTTTCGACAGAATTGGAATTTGTTAGAAGAAGAACTGAAGCATAACCCACGATCTGAACAGGAATTGTCAGTTGCTATGACGGCTTTGAAGTACTGCGCCACTAGGCCTATAAGCCGCGACATACTGTATCCATAGAGTTCAATAGCCTTGCCACGGTGGCTATAGCTTGAATTTTCAACCGCTTATTTCCGTAATTCCATGGCGAGTCTCCTAAAAGAAGTGAATCTCCTAGAAATTAAAAACTGACATAAACTGACAAGACTAAGACATGTCAAGGAGCGTGTCACTTTGATTTGCATCATACACAAAAGCAAATAAAGAAAAATTTAAAAAATATTTTTAAAATAATCAAACGTGGGATATTATAGGCTCTTAAATTAAGTTGTAGTTGTGTATAAACCATCAGAAATGTTGAAAATGCCTTAGAACGAAGGCAGTGAATATTTCAAATACTTCACCTTGCCCTAGAACAAAGCTTGGATGGGTATAGTGAGAAGTGCGAACGTGATCTGGAGAAGAGCCAACCTCGTAGTGGAAAGAGCCTGGGTTACGAGGTTGAAGAAGAGCAATGAATTGGATGTCAATATTTTATTGCAAACATGTATATTCCTGAATTTTACTAGACATATGGGTTGGTTTTAAAAGTCTTTCAATGTTGAGCTTTAGTCGGGTGAAATTAGTTTCGTTGGAAACGTAAAAATAGGCTAACGAGTTTCATAATCTTGAACTGCGGTTTGTGCCAGTGAAAGTAATGCCAATAATAACAATTGCTTTCGTCGGTTGAGATGGAACCGGCCTGAAAAATATAAGGAGAACTTCGACGTGTTTTTAATTTTTAATTTTCGTGAAATATAGTTAATTTTTGACATGTCAGAAACGTGAAATGGCGGGGTTGTTTTTCTTTACGTGAAACGTGATCCAAACTGAGGGCTCACCATTCTCAAGGCCAGTAAGGGGGCGTAGCAAAATTAACCTCCACATGATTGTACTCCGGAAGCCCTATTGTTTCATACAAGCTGCTTGTCTTGTATAAAATATGTTCATCCTGTGCGCACTACCGCATTCGGTAAACAAGATAGCATTCCGGCTACACCACCTTTCACTCCAGAATACAAATACGCCATGATGAACGTGTTAAGAAGTGCTTTCCAAAAATCTAAGAAGTACGACATTCAGGAAGAGATAACGTAAGTATCAACTTATATTATGTGTGGTATTGTACAGAGACAACGTTATGAACACGGTCGTTTAGGCATATTATGAAACTTACGATGTGCCATAAATTTACTACGCGGAGGTGACAATAAAACTATGGATTCATTTTGGGGGGGGGGGGAATACACCCCGATAGATACAGATCAAATTTAATTAAACTAGTAAAAAATCCAAAAATTAAATTCCATGATGTTGGTCGAAGCCCGCTTATAGAGAGCGACGTTTTTGAGTTCACAAACGCCAGCCGGAAGTGGAGCCGGCGTTGTAGATGGCGACAGCCATTCTTGTTTGAAGGCACGAACGTAAAACTGCATCGCCTGCTGTTTTTGGTTTCAACTGACACAGTTCGAACTCACTTGATCTCCTCCGCAGAGCTCAGTATTAGTTAATAAACACAAGTTACACCGCTAAGTTATCTACGCGTGGCATCCGTGTTGTCAAAAACGTCGCTTGCTCGCTTGCTATTGTTCTGCAATCGGAGTTGACGTCATCGACAGATCATCTCACTATCGACAGATCGTTGCCAAATATGGATCTCAGAATTGAAATCGTTATGCTCGAATTAGTCTATGCCGGGAATTTCACGATATTCTGACATTCTGAGCGCGAGTTACGGTGTTTTGAAAATTTCAGTTTTCGAAACTATATAATTATATACGTTTGACTGGAATTTTAATTTGTGTTACCTTTGTCGGCCACCGTACTGCGGCACAGTGTATGGAATTTCCGCTCAATAAAAATGTTTCATTTTTCAAACGGCCGTAACTCGTGTTCTGAATGTCCAAACGTCGTGAAATTTTTGATATGGATTAATTTAAGTATCAAGATTTAAATTCTGGGACCCATTTCAGCTAAATATGAAGATGAAAAATCGATAACGCGAATTCGGATCGGAGAATAGCTGAACAAACTTCGACGCGCCAAACGACTTTTCTCGATACGTCGAAATTCATTCTATATATTTTCAGATCGTTGCATCCTTCAACATTCATTAATTCTACCCACACTACAACTAGTGTTTCTAATGTGTTGTTTACTTTGTGTTTTTCAGACCGGACGTAACGAAGATCCGGTATTCCGCAATTGAACAAGATCTTACAAAAGCCGCGACTGAGTTAAACGACATTAATAAAGAACTCTCTCCTCATGTCATAGATGTATTCCAAGCGCTTGGCAACTATGATGTCAGATTTGATTTTGATCCGTTTTCGATCGATGACTGTCGGTGTAACATCGTATCTCCTCGTGAAGTGAACGTACTATGTTCGTTGAAACACGTTCCTCTTCAGTCATTGGTGATTGAAGAAGATAGCCTGCCAGGAAGAGTGAAGCTTAAACTGAAAGACGACTTCGTTCAGAAGTAAGAATTTATATTACTTACCTTGAGATGAAATGATGGCGCATATATATATATATTTATATATATATATATATATATATATATATATATATATATATATATATATATATATATATATATATATATATATATATATATATATATATACACACCAGACAAAAAGAAAGTCCCCCCCCCCCTAAAAATATCGGCATAAGTTCTAAACAGATGAGTCCCTCATAATCACGCCCAGCATTAATTAGACCTTTGGTAATTTGCTTAATGTGCTGTGTGACGAATGGGGATGATCACGTCTTGTATACGACGCCTTCATTTCAAACTGCGGCAACATATTATTTATTATTAAATGAGTCGGCTACTACAACTCTTCTCAATCATAAATTCTTATTATACCCGTTTTAATATCATACGATAGATAGAAGATGGTGTTTGTTACAATCGTTTACTTCAACGAGTTTGTTTGCCTTCGTGGTAGCGTTGTAGTAGAATGCGATTTTTGAAACTTTTAACAAGCTTCATTTGCACTTGTTACTTTGTTAACACTTTCCTTCACTGCTCTATTTAGATTCGATGACGTCTGCTGGGAGGATTTTTTAGACACGACATCTGAAGATCGTTATTTCGATTCTACAAAAGTGTACGAATGTCTGTCTAAGGCGATACGCCATGCTGTACATGAAGTTCGTGCAGACATGGCGAATGTATCTGTTGGAGTTCTTGAATCTTCCAAAATGATCAGTTTACTGTTTCAGCTTTCAAAAGATGCCATGTATATAGTTAATTTATTTCCTTCAATTCGTGTCAACTACTCCTGCGAGAATTTTCAATATTTATTGAAACAATTCTCGACTCTTCCTGAAACGGTGCTTGACGAATGCCAGCTCCAGCAAGGCATACACGTTGTTGCAAGACCTAGCACAAATTCCGAAGATGAAAAGAAATTTTGGAGTATAACTTTCAACGATGTCGAAAGACGACTTGTCCTTTCAGAAATGTTTGAGTGCGCGAAAGACTGTCTAATTTGTCTTAATGAAATATTCAAGTCTCCACTATACGGTGTCGAAAGAAAGCGTCTATCCAACTATCAAATTCAGGCGGTTGTCTTACAAGAAATTTTCGCAAGGCCCAATTCAAAGGCTTGGGAAAAAAAATGTCTACCGAAGAGGCTGCTGGGAGTGCGGAGCTCTCTGAACGCTTGCCTGCGAATGGGTAAATGTAAAGACGTTTTACCGGTGTGAACCTGTTCGAAGGTATGAGTCAGGGCACACTTGATGAAATAGCCAAATTCTTGCAGGGCCTCTGCTAGAGTGGACCGAGGGCTTCAGAAAAGGAGACGGAACTGGAAAGCCGCGTGAATTGATGAACTGCTAGAGCGGACGTCGCTACGTACGAGAACCGCGCACATCCAAGAGATCCACGGAAGATGACCGCATGTATATACTTTTCTCATGAAGCATGATGAGACTATTTTACTTAGGGACCGTTCATTATTTATAACTGGGGTTGGTACCGAAGTGAAACGAAAAACAGTGTACATTTTTTATTCACCCAACCTCAACAATGGCCAAAATAATGTTTCGGCGAACCCATGTGTACTCTACTTCATAATAATTAAACACACAAGATTATGGTGACAGAAATTAGGCTGCCTAAATTCTAGAAGCTCACTCCGCACTCATAAACTCACTGAGTGTGCTAAAGCAATCACGTTTCTGCTCAATGAAATAGTCCTTCCTCAATCACTGATGGTCTATTTTGGTACAGAATGTATTGTACACATTTTCTTCATATTTTGCAATGCATGGTAATTTTGGTTTTATTTTATAGCTGACAAACAGCCATAAATTTTTTTACACCCATGCAACTCATGAGCTAGTCAAAAACTTGATTACCCAACCCAAATCTCTTCGGTACCAACACCGGGTATAAATAATGAACTGTTCCTTAATAATAGTCAAGAAACGTACGTGACTGAAGATATCTTCTTTATCCGAGATACGTGATCGTTTGTGGGTGGTGGAAACGTGATCTTTACGCCCACAAATGAGTTATCGGAAAAGTTATTTACATTTTTCCCTATAATTATATGAATGTATGTAGGCTATAGGCATTTTAATTACAAGACCCCTATTTACATTATTTATACATGTTTAGGTTATTTTTAGTCAGCTGTTTGAATTATTGCATGGGAAAAGAGGAAAGACAAAAAGAGTATAAAGAGAGGATATTAACAACACTGCGGCGCGAAGATATGACTTTTTATCTTCGAGTGGTGAAAACAATATTTTACGAACGAGCGCAGCGAGTGAGTAAAATATTGTTTTTAACACAAGAAGATAAAAGTCATATCTTCAAGCCAAGAGATATATTGCGGGCCCATGTCCTGAATTTCTGGCCATGGTTTCATGCCGTAAAGGCAAATGAATCATCAGGCAACGGATTATTGCTTCTGAATCGCAATAGCAACAAAAACATTTACTCCTGCTCGGAGTAGCAAGATGATGAAACTCGTTAGCCTACTTTTACGTTTTCCGGCGAAACTAATTTCACCCGACTAAAGCTCAACATTGAAAGACTTTTAAAACCAACCCATATATCTAGTAAAATTCAGGAATATGCATGTTTGCAATAAAATATTTACATCCAATTCATTGCTCTTCTTCAACCTCGTAACCCAGGCTCTTTCCACTACGAGGTTGGCTCTTCTCCAGATCACGTTCGCACTTCTCACTATACTCACTGACCCATCCAAGTTTTGTTCTAGGGCAAGGTGAAGTATTTGAAATATTCACTGCCTTCATTCTAATCATTTTCAACATTTCTGATGGTTTATACACAACTACGTTTAATTTTTTTTAAATTTTTAAAAAATTTCTTTGTTTGCTTTTGTGTGTGGTACAAAATCAAAGTGACACGCTCCTTGACATGTCTTAGTCTTGTCAGTTTATGTCAGTTTTTAATTTCTAGGAGATTCGCTTCTTTTAGGAGACTCGACTTCGGGGGTCTTTTGTGGGAAGAGAAATGGATCAAACTAATTACAATCTCCGCAATACTGCAACAGACCTTACATTACCTAAGCCAAAAAGAGAATTTTTTAAAAAAGCTTTAAATATAGTGGCGCTTTGTACTGGAATCAGTTTCCAAATGAAGCGAAACTAGCAAGTTCGCTTCACTCGTTTAGATTAAATGTTGGATAGTGACATGCATACATTTGTATATAGAAAAGTGTGTATATATAGTATTTAGATATAGTTATTTATTTATTTATTTATTATGGGGCTAGCGTGTTCCTTTTTGTTAATTTTAAATAAAGTATTGCCTGCCTGCCTGCCTGCCTGCCTGCCTGCCTGCCTGCCTGCCTGCCTGCCTGCCTGCCATGGAATTACGGAAATAAGCGGTTGAAAATTCAAGCTATAGCCACTGTGGCAAGGCTAATAAACATAGATATTATTGATTATAATCATAGATATTATTGATTTTATCATATAGAATACCTAATTGAAATGTATACAGTATACTAAGAAATTGGAGTAGGCTACCTAGAAAGAACCCACGACTTTCGACAGAACTTGTTAGAAGAACTGAAGCATAACCCACGATCTGAAAAGGAATTATCAGTTGCTATGACGACTCTGAAAACTGGGCCACTATAAGCCGCGCCACATACTGTATCTAGAGTTTATTAGCCTTGCCACGGTGGCTGTATATAGCTTGAATTTTCAACCGCTCATTTCCGTAAATGATTAGAACGAAGGCAGTGGATATTTCAAATACTTCACCTTGCCCTAGAACAAAGCCTGGATGGGTATAGTGAGAAGTGTGAACATGATCTGGAGAAGAGCCAACCTCGTAGTGGAAAGAGCCTGGGTTACGAGGTTGAAGAAGAGCAATCAATTGGATGTAAATATTTTATTGCAAACGTGCATATTCCTGACTTTTACTAGATATATGGGTTGGTTTTAAAAGTCTTTCAATGTTGAGCTCTAGTCGGGTGAAATTGTAGTTTTGGTTGGAAACGTAAAAATAGGCTAACCAGTTTCATAATCTTGATCTGCGGTTTGTGCCAGTGAAAGTAATGCCAATAATAACAATTGCTTTCGTCGGTTGAGATGCAACCGGCCTGAAAAATATAAGGAGAACTTCGACGTGTTTTTAATTTTCGTGAAATGGTTAATTTTTGACATGCCAGAAACGTGAAATGGCGGGATTGTTTTTCTTTACGTGAAACGTGATCCAAACTGAGGGCTCACAATTCTCAAGGCCAGTAAGGGGGCGTAGCAAAATTAACCTCCACATGATTGTACTCCGGAAGCCCTATTGTTTCATACAAGCTGCTTGTCTTGTATAAAATATGTTCATCCTGTGCACACTACCGCATTCGGCAAACAAGATAGCATTGCGGCTACACCACCTTTCACTCCAGAATACAAGTACCATGATGAACGCGTTAAGAAGTGCTTTCCAAAAATCTAAGAAGTACGATATTCAGGAAGAGATAACGTAAGTATCAACTTATATTATGTGGTATTGTACAGAGACAACGTTTTGAACACGGTCGTTTAGGCATATTATGAAACTTACGATGTGCCATAAATTTACTACGCGGAGGTGACAATAAAAATATATGGATTCATTTTGGGAGGAAAATACACCCCGATAGATACAAATTTAATTAAACTGGTAAAAAATCCGAAAATTAAATTCCATGATGTTGGTCGCGAAGCCCGCTTATAGAGAGGAATTACAGGTTATTTCGCTGGCCTCAGAGTGACAAAACGTAACAAAGCAACGGTTTTACTAACACTAACCCTATTCCAAACACCAACTCTAACCCCAACCCTAATCCTTACCCTAACCTAACCCTACTCCAAGTTTGTTTCTAAACCAATCTAGTGAAGAAAATTCTTTTGACGAAATGTCATTCTGAGGTCAGCGAAATAACTTTTTCCTTATAGAGAGCGACGTTTTTGAGTTCACGAACCGCCAGCCGGAAGTAGAGCCGGCGTTGTAGATGGCGATTAGTCGTTCTCGGTTTGAAGGCACGAACGTAAAACTACATCTCCTGCTGTTTTGGTTTCAACTGACACAGTTCGAACTCACTCGATCTCCTCCGCAGAGCTCAGTATAGTTAATAAACACAAGTTACACCGCTAAGTTATCTACGCGTGGCGACCGTGTTGTCAAAAACGTCGCCTTGCTATTGTTCTGCAATCGGAGTTGACGTCATCGACAGATCATCTCACTATCGATAGATCTCACTGCCAAATATGGATCTCAGAATTGAAATCGTTAGGCTCGAATTAGTCTATGCCAAGAATTTCACGATATTCGACGGACATTCAGAGCGCGAGTTACGGTGGTTTGATAATTTCATTTTTCGAAACTATATACGTTTGACTGGAATTTTAATTTATCTTAACTTTGTCGGCCACCGTACTGCGGCACAGGCTATGGAATTCCCGCTCAATGAAAATGTTTTCATTTTTCAAACGGCCGTAACTCGTATTCCGAATGTCCAAACGTCGTGAAATTTTCGATATGGACTAATTTGAGTATCAAGATTTAAATTCTAGGATATCCCGTTTTAGTCAAACATGAACGGATGAAAAATCGTTTACGCGTACTTGGATCGGACAATAGCTGAACAAACTTCGACACGCCAAACGCCTTTTCTTGATACGTCAAAATTCATTCTATATATTTTCAGATCGTTGCATCCTTCGACCTAATTAAACTCTACCCATGCATGAATGCCATAATACTACAACTGGCTAGTGTTTCTAACGTGTTGTTTACTTTGTGTTTTTCAGACCGGGCGTAACGAAGATTGAGTATTCCGCAATTGAACAAGATCTTACAAAAGCCGCGACTGAGTTAAACGACATTAATAAAGAACTCTCTCCTCATGTCATAGATGTATTTCAAGCGCTTGGCAACTATGACGTCAGATTTGATTTCGATCCGTTTTCGATCGATGACTGTCGGTGTAACATCGTATCTCCTCGTGAAGTGAACGTACTATGTTCGTTGAAACACGTTCCTCTTCAGTCGTTGGTGATTGAAGAAGATAGCCTGCCAGGAAGAGTGAAGCTTAAACTGAAAGACGACTTCGTTCAGAAGTAAGAATTTATATTACTTCTTTTGAGATGAAATGATGGCGCATATATATATATATATATATATATATATATATATATATATATATATATATATATATATATATATATATATATATATATATATATATATATATATATACCAGACAAAAAGAAAGCCCCCCCTAAAAATATCAGCATAAGTTCTAAACAGATGAGTCCCTGATAATCACGCCCAGCACTAATTAGACCTTTGGTAGTTTGCTTAATGCTGTGTGAAGAATGGAGTCATGCAGTATGGGGCCGATCACCGACCTCGTTCCCAGGGCCTTTTTTGAAAGGTTCATGAGAAGAATTGGCGGCAACAGTAATTTTTATAACAGAACTTAAAATACTTAATTTATTCATTCATGAAGAAAATTCAAAAGAAACTGAATGTTTAATCAATGTTTGTAAATCGGATAATGATTTGTCCTAATTTACATAAAGTTTAGCTTTGATATTCTCGGCTTAGATAATGTTTATTTTTAAAATTTCTTTGTCAATGAACTCAGAAGATGGGTCGTTTTTCAAGTACTTTAAAACATTCGCATCCGATCTTTATTTTATTCTGATATACAAACTCTCGCCTAGCAACATAAAGTGAATGAACTTTTAAAATATCTGGTCTAATACCTAATTGAGTAAATAGAGGATCAGAATGATCAGAATCAATTCATACGATAGATAGTAGACGGCGACGTTTGTTACAATCATTTAGTTCCACGAGTTTGCCGTCGTGGTAGCGTTGCCGTCCCGTTAAGATCCCAAAAACGCAATGCATGCACAGGGATGATTTATTGCGAAACATGCGATTTTTGAAACTTTTAACAAGCTTCATTTGCACTTTTCTTGATGTTTGTTACTTGCTGTTACTTGTTAACACTTTTCTTCACTGCTCTATTTAGATTCGATGACGTCTGCTGGGAGGATTTTTTAGACACGACATCTGAAGGTCGTTATTTCGATTCCACAAAAGTGCACGAATGTCTGTCTAAGGCGATACGCCATGCTGTACATGAAGTTCGTGCAGACATGGTGAATGTATCTGTTGGGGTTCTTGAATCTTCCAAAATGATCAGTTTACTGTTCCAGCTTTCAAAAGATGCCATGTATATAGTTAATTTATTTCCTTCAATTCGTGTCAACTACTCCTGCGAGAATTTTCAATATTTATTGAAACATTTCTCGACTCTTCCTGAAACGGTGCTTGACGAATGCCATCTCCAGCAAGGCATACACGTTGTCGCAAGACCTAACACAAATTCCGAAGATGAAAATAAATTTTGGAGTATAACTTTCAGCGATATCGAAAGACGACTTGTCCTTTCAGAAATGTTTGAGTGCGCGAAAGACTGTCTAATTTGTCTTAATGAAATATTCAAGTCTCCACTATACGGTGTCGAAAGAAAGCGTCTATCCAACTATCAAATTCAGGCGGTTGTCTTACAAGAAATTTTCGCAAGGCCCAATTCAAAGGCTTGGGAAAAAAAATGTCTACCGAAGAGGCTGCTGGGAGTGCGGAGCTCTCTGAACGCTTGCCTGCGAATGGGTAAATGTAAAGACGTTTTTACCGGTGTGAACCTATTCGAAGGTATGAGTCAGGGCACACTTGATGAAATAGCCAAATTCTTGCAGGGCTTCTACTAGAGTGGACCGAGGGCTTCAGAAAAGGAGACGGAACTGGAAAGCCGCGTGAATTGATGAACTGCTAGAGCGGACGTCGCTACGTACGAGAACCGCGCACATCCAAGAGATCCACGGAAGATGACCGCATGTATATACTTTTCTCATGAAGCATGATGAGACTATTTTACTTAGGGACCGTTCATTATTTATAACTGGGGTTGGTACCGAAGTGAAACGAAAAACAGTGTACATTTTTTATTCACCCAACCTCAACAATGGCCAAAATAATGTTTCGGCCAACCCATGTGTACTCTACTTCATAATAATTAAACACACAAGATTATGGTGACAGAAATCAGGCTGCCTAAATTCTAGAAGCTCACTCCGCACTCATAAACTCACTGAGTGTGCTAAAGCAATCACGTTTCTGCTCAATGAAATAGTCCTTCCTCAATCACTGATGGTCTATTTTGGTACAGAATGTATTGTACACATTTTCTTCATATTTTGCAATGCATGGTAGTTTTGGTTCTATTTTATAGCTGACAAACAGCCATAAATTTTTTTACACCCATGCAACTCATGAGCTAGTCAAAAACTTGATTACCCAACCCAAATCTCTTCGGTACCAACCCAGGTATAAATAATGAACTGTTCCTTAATAATAGTCAAGAAACGTACGTGACTGAAGATATATTCTTTATCCGTGATACTTGATCGTTTGTTCCAAATATTTTCTAATTGCACGTAAAAAGGAGTTTTGATTTAATATATACATGGAGGGTGTTGGAAACATGATCTTTACGCCCACAAATGAGTTATCGGAAAAGTTATTTACATTTTTTCCTATAATTATATGAATGTATGTAGGCTATAGGCATTTTAATTACAAGACCCCTATTTACATTATTTATACATGTTTAGGTTATTTTTAGTCAGTTTGAATTATTGCATGGGAAAAGAGGAAAGACAAAAAGAGTATAAAGAGAGGATATTAATAACACTGCGGCGCGAAGATATGACTTTTTATCTTCGAGTGGTGAAAACAATATTTTACGAACGAGCGCAGCGAGTGAGTAAAGTATTGTTTTTAACACGAGAAGATAAAAGTCATATATCTTCAAGCCAACGTGGAATGTTCTGTTTATTATCATAGTTCCAAGCAAAAAATTGTATAAATACTAAAAGTCACGTGATCGATATCTTCACTAGTGAAGATATGGAAAATATATCACTCTCTACTATATAATAATAATGTTTAGATTATAGATGATATATATAGCTAGGATATTCATAGTTCCATTTTAATATAGAGCCGGAGAGAGGGGGATTCGGCGCGGAATCAGTTACCCGAAGTGATGATATTAAATGGTGAAATATCATCATTAAGAGTAATATACTCCAAGCTGAAGGTATACTATTTAATATCTACAGTAGAAAAGAAGATATAATTTTAACTATTAATAGTGTTATACATCAATTATATATTTCAAGCAACTATAATATTAAATGTTAGCAATTATTAAAAGTTTTAAATACTTTTAATTTGGTGAGTCGTGAAATTTACGTAGCAAGTAGCTAGGAGCATCAGTCTTGACTCTTGACGTCTGTAGTTTCGAGGTGGTAACTTTTTATTATTTTTTTTTTGCATTTCAAGCGGCAACTTTTTAGGAGCACAATCGAGAAATTCTATATAGCCTTATCGGGCTTTAATTTCTTACGAGTCTTTTTAGTCTGCGGCAGCATGCATGAAACAATGATAATTTGATGTCTTTGATATGGCATGATTGGCTCTGCGTTTACGCCGTTTACAAAAAGTTCGAAGTCGCAATAAACAACAAGAGAATTAACCAACGAGTTAATTAATCCTTATAATTTTGATGACGAGTTATCCTTTCGGACATGTTTGAGCTCGTTTGAGTGCACCGAAAACTGTTTAATATATGTCTTAATGAAGAACTCCACCATACGTGGTCCATGGTAGGCGTCTTTCTAACGATCAGATTCAGGTACCGGGATATGTCCTGCGAGAAATTTTCACAAGGCCCATGCATTGGGCAATTCCAGCTTTTAATTTATGCGCGCAGGGGGTGACGGGAAGTAAGGTATCATATTGCTGATTATCGGCTGAAAAATTTCAATTAAAACTGCGGAAACAACCGAAATATTTCAATATTTAAAAGTATAAGCTATCACTCCGTGTTTACACGGCCATCATTTTTCAGTTTTTTCAGCATAATCACCATTATGATACCTTACTTCTCATCCTGTACGCATAAACTCAATGGTCTCATTGATCTGGAACTGAAAAAGAATGTCTGCACGGCTTGCATTGGGAGTATTGAGATACTGAACGCTTGCCTGCGAATGGTTATCTAAAGACTTTAATATGCTAGGAAAAAATAAAAAAAAATTTTTTCATATTAAAATCAACATATTTCATTTATAGGTTCGCAAGACTCAGCATGACAATAGAAATTAATTTCTGTACCGCTAATCACATTAGTCATTAATCATAATAATCCATGTTTTATGAATTGAATTTCAAAACGTCATGCCTTCTATAATACTATATAACTGCACGTTTTACGCGATAATCTGTCAAAAATAGTTCGCCTGTATACATTGTCAATTTTCCGCTTGCCATATCTAATTATCTTGATATTGGATGCACGCAATTCCTGAGCAATTTATTTCTAAATTCATCTTTCTCGGTTTGAGTATACTATTGTTTACAATAGGAACGCTAGATTAATTTGCAACATATTGTCCATGTTACTTAGGTGATATCCTAATTGCTTTTCATATTGTGTTGACGATCGTTTTGAATTATCATGTACGCAAGATATAACTCTTGGGTGCAATAGCCAATAGAGACACTTATACATAACCGGTACTCCAAAGACAAAGTGGTGCAGTTCCGAATATATTGTTCCATATATCCTCAAATATTGCAATTTATAATTTATACGTTCACAGTCTTTATAGTAAACATAGAATATAATAAAGGCAGAGTGGCTTGGATCAGGTTTTTGGACAGAATTATACAGCACTGGCTTGGCTAAGATTGACACTCAAAAGTAAAGGTACGTGCATGATAATCATCGATAGTAGATTGTAGTTACACTTCACCGACTTGTGTGCACTGACTAACACAATCAATAATCATTGACATCTCGTGGGTCTTTCAGCCTAAAAGTTATAAATTTAATTTTAAATCATAAACACGACTCTGTATTACATAGAACTCAGTCATTATTACATCAAAATTTTTATCCGTAAAAACCGGCTACTGATGAATTATAACAGTGAATGAATTCTACGAAAAATGAAAAGAGTATGACCAGACTGTATGTAACCGCGATGTGCTCAAAGAGAAAAGCGAGGAAAATTTGTTAACATCAGGAGTTGAATTTTACAGCGGCAGGCGAGACTGAACTGATTTGAAATTTACTTTTTTACAGTAAAACTTTTTCAATTTGAAATGGAATTTAGAGTTTGAGTATAACCATCTTTCAAAACGTGAAACGTTTCAAGCTCAATTTTATTACTTGAAATCGCTTTATGATTATGACTTATGTTTTGCTGTCGCCGGCTTCTGGAGTAACTTTGCCGCTTCTGGTATTTTTCCCAATGTCAATGAGCATTCGTCGCTGTACTTAGTCAAATTATCACTCTCTATATTATTATAAGTTTGCAATAAAATCTGATGCTATTAGTGTTTTAATATATTACAAGCTAATGAGCATCAAGTTATTGCAACACTGACTCGACTCACTTCATGCATGAGTGGTGTGAACGGCTATACATGCCGGAATCTATTTTTCTATTTGTTGGACTGAGTATTTATATGACAGAGTGGAAAAAAGTGAAAATTAAATTAATCACCCTGTTTGAAGGTTTGCACGCGGAAGGGGAGGCTTGTAAAGTTTCTGCTACTTTACCGATTTTTTTTTTCAAGACTGCATGAGATCATCCATTGATGATTCAGAATTAATGATTCGGATTTGTAGCAAATATTGTGATGTCGCCACAATTTGATTCATGTAATAGCTGTCAGATCGTGACTAAAACACCACACGAGTACACACGAGTACATACGAGTAACATACGAGTAACACACAGGTACATACGAGTACATACGAGTAACACACGAGTACATACGAGTAACATACGAGTACATACGAGTAACATACGAGTACATACGAGTAACACACGAGTACATACGAGTAAAACACAAGTACATACGAGTAAGTACATACGAGTAGAATACGAGTAAAATACGACTAGTAAACTTGTTTTTAGTGTTTGTAGATTGAATACAGGCAAAAAGATCGTCTTCTCTGTCGAAAAACGGGAAATAGACTGAAACCGGCTATCTTTAAAACCCGGAACGGGGAATGGGGGGACGGGGAATGGGAGAACGGGAAGTGGGGGAACGGGCAACGGAGGGAATGGAGGGGCGAGGGGGGAGGGCAGAAATAGGAGACAGGGGTCGGGCGAGGTCTGCCAGATTCTATAAACCACAACTTTGTAGTTTGTACAACATCTACTTTTAGGTATTCTACCTAGATAGTTAGATACATGACACAAACCATAGGCTTCACATATTTCACGGCATCGTTTGCTTTCAAAACCCTGCGAGCATGCACAAAACCTAACTCACGAACTGCATCTACTTAAAATAGTACTAGGTGATAAACTTACAATCCTCACATAGCCTCAATCACAACATGTGGCTAGGCAAATATACGAACTACACAGTTAACTTATACCGTGACGACATACGACAGTTCCGAGACCGAAATACAGGACAACAGGGCCTTTTTTAAGGATTTTCCCGTGGGGGGTATTTTTTGAAAAGGGATTTTAGATAATATATTAGAGGGGGATAGCAATGGCCGACGGCCACGGTGTGTGGCCGACATACTCCCCCAGAAAATGTTTTAAATTTGAACCTTTCAAATACCATTTTCTGCTTTATGAGCGTCTAAATTTGCTCTAAAATTTATGCTAATTATACTTGTATTTGAAATAAAAGAAGGAAAAAATGCAGAAAAAATAAAAGAAATATTAAAGGTGATCTACAGTCCGATCTGCGCATGTGCACAAATGAGCCCACTTTTTATGACACTTTTATTATACTCTAGAAGCTTGAAAATTTCTAGATAATTTATTATACTCTAGAAGCTTGAAAATATAAATAGTTGTCGAATAAAGCTCAATATTTTGGACACAAAAATGTAAACAAAGACTTTGTTTACATACGGACTGTATATCGATCACCTTTAACAATAATTTATCCATTACTTATTATTAAAGGGGATAGCAATGGCCGTGGGTCACGTGTGTGGCCGACATACCGCGAATGAATAGGGGGTCTGGGGGCATTAACTCCCCAGAAAATTTTTGAAATTTCAAGCCCAAAAATCCCATGTGCTGCCGTCTGAGCATCTAAATTTTCTAGAATTTATCCTAACTATACTTCTATTTGAAATAAAAAAAGGAAAAAACACACAAAGAATTTTAAAAATATTAACAATAATTTATCATTACTTAGTGTTAGAAACACGTAGGATGCGCACGCGGTGACACAGTCCTTTAAATCGATTTTGTTAAACAAGGACCAAGGATAAAGCCTAAAACGTACGTTCCGTTTATCAATTTGTTATTCTTCGCTGGTTTGTTTGTATAAATTTAGGAAAAAGGGACTTTTCCTGGGGGGGGGGGGTGAAAGTGAGCCTCAGAACGTGCATTTTCATTTCCGATCAGCCTGCATCAGAGCAAAGTATCCAAGCTTTCTTGGCGACGTTCTTGTTCCTCCAGACTTTCCTCCCCTTCTGAAGGTGGAGCACGTCCAAAGGCTTGCAGGAGAGTTCGGCTGGGTCCTTTAGAAACGTACTTGCCAACTTAAATTGCTAACTTAAAATCTGCGTATTTTGAAGTATTTTGTGTTTTGTTAGTTTTGCTTTGTAAGATATTTAAAATAGGATAATCACTTAAGATATCATATGGAGCATAAGGACTGCCTTGGACTTGCATTTAGTCCTTAAGTTTGTTTTATTATATAGCAAGTATATTAGTAATGACATAAGCAATATTATTAATTAATATTACTTAATGATCGGACATAAGCAATGTGGATTGACTTTTTTATGATACGCTGTACTAATAAAGGAAAGCTTCGCCAAATTTCTTTACTAGTTTTAATTCATTGAGCGGTTTTCTAATTCTCAAGACACCAGAGTCCGTTTTATAGTTTCGTAATTCCCCGATTCCCGTTTATCCTGTCGAATTTCTGTTTCTTTTTTCTGTTCTTTTCCCCCCGTACATATGATTAATATTACGTATTAATAATAATTCATAATTGGTCAATCCCCCTCCCCCCGTTACTCGTTCCTCCATTCCCCGTTCCCCCCCCATTCCCTTTTCCTCCATTCCCCGTTCCCCCATTCCACGTTTTTCGACAGAGAAGACGATCTTTTTGCCTGTATTCAATCTACAAACACTAAAAACAAGTTTACTAGTCGTATTTTACTCGTATGTACTCGTATTCTACTCGTATGTACTCGTATGTACTTGTGTTTTACTCGTGTGTTACTCGTATGTACTCGTATGTTACTCGTATGTACTCGTGTGTTACTCGTATGTACTCGTATGTACTTGTGTGTTACTCGTATGTTACTCGTATGTACTCGTGTGGTGTTTTAGTCACGATCATAGCTGTCATTAGTGACTTATTACAGCAAATTGAACTTATATTTTCGTTTGTGTTTCTACATTCAAAAGTTTTAATGACAGTATATATATATATAGTATTGTCGGCAATCGGCTGTTTTCATCTTCTTTTAATGATGTGATAACAATTTAACGCATCAAGGTTGCAACAACTTGTTTTTTACCGGCTGGTCCGATGAAATGACTACATTGCCCGTCAAATCGTATATTGTTTACACTGTTTTTATTCGATTTCTTGGCGGGTTAACACATTTTAATCTACATTTGCTTCGTATGTTTTCCTAAGCACACGCCTTGTCTTCATGTTGTTTTCGACTCGTGAAACATGCAAACTGTCAATCATATCCACTGTCTATTATTAACTAATTAACTTAGAGATTAATATTACTTATTTTATCTAACGTCAACAAAATATCAATACACTCTCCGCCCCGATGAGAATGTAGTTCTCATGCTACTAAATAGCATAGCTAGTTCTAGTTCTCTTTGTAACCTTCTTCTGGATAAATAACAGCAATTCTACTTACAGGTCTCTCATATTCTCCAGAACATGTCTTCACTCTGATGTTTCGAACCTTACTGTCTTTACCAGGAAACACGTTTATAACTTTGCCAATCGTCCAGCTTCCTCGCACTGCATTCGGGTTTTCAATCACTACAACATCGTTGACACGAACGTTTCTTCTATCTGCATTCCACTTTTTACGGGGAACTAACGCTGGAAAAACATCTCTTTGCCAATGTTTCCAAAAATCATCTACTATTCTCTGAACAAACTCAACACGTTTACGTGGATCTCGAGTCTCCTTGAACGGTCCTTGTGGAACTTTCGACGACGCACGTCCAAGCAGAATATCATTAGGACAAATATACGAACCTTCGTTTGGATCAGTTGTAACGCGGCCAATTGGTCGTTGGTTTACCAGGTTTGCGATCTCTAATAATAAACAGGTGTAAAGTTCAAACGGTGTTAGCTTCTGTTCTCCAACTGCCATCTTTAGTGCTCGTTTACAACTTTTAACCATAGACTCTGCACAACCATTCTGGTGTGGTGATGTAGGTGTAATAAATTGCCATTTAATTCCTTTTTCTGCTGCAAACTCCCTTAACTTCTCTTTATCCCATCCTGCGATCATCTCCCTTAATTTTCTTTCAGCCCCTACTAACTGTGTCCCATTGTCACTTAGAATCAACGCTGGTCTTCCACGAATTGCAAAAAATCGACGCAAGACTTGTATAAATTCCATAGCTGAATAGTCAACTGCTAGTTCTAAGTGAACAGCTCTTGTGTTCAAACAAGTAAATACGACACCGTAATGCTTCGTACTTTTGTTTCGTCCAACCTTGACGTGATAAGGACCAAAATAATCACGTGCGCTATTGTGAAATGGTGGAGTATATGGTACAAGACGAATTCCAGGAAGGTCTGCCATTTTCTGGGTTTCACACTTCGCTTGCATTTTCTTGCAGAACACGCATTCGTACTTGACTGATTTAGCAAGATTATGGACTCTGAGTATCCAATATTTTCGTCGAATCTTTGCTGCAGTGGCAGCTACTCCAGAGTGTCCATATTGGTGGGCTTGACGAGTAATCAGTTTAGATGTCCAGTGATCCCTAGACAATAACACTGGATGTCTGGTATCGTAAGTCGCAATGGTTTTATCAACTCTACCTCCAACTCTGATAACATCTTCCGAGTCGGTAATCGGATCCAGCTTTTGCAATTGTCCCTTCGCAAGACTGTTTTGCAGGTTTTTCTGGTTTTGCTTTATCCAATAGGTTTCTGACTCTTCTAGCTCTTGTACGGACAAACAACTACTTCTTTGGCTATCTGGGTTTTCTGCTTTTCCTTTTTTCACACAAGCTTTCAAATTCCAGTAGAATCTGAAGACATACGCTGTTACTCGCACCAGTCGTCTCCAGTTCGAAAATCTTGTACAATCGATCGGGGAAGCCATAGTTTCCTTCACTGTACACACTTTCTGACTCTTTCGAATTTCCTGTTCAACTTCACCGTTCTCAACAGTTGATGAATCCGCTGGCCATTCATGTTCAGGTAATCGAAGAAATTCTGGACCTCGTTGCCATTTCTTTGTCAGACTTTGCACAGAAATCCCACGAGACACCTCGTCGGCAACATTGTATTCTCCAGGTAAGTGTCTCCACGTAGCTGGGTCGGAATTACTTTGAATCTCGCTCACTCGAATTGAAACGAATGGTTTAAATCTTCTAGCTTCACCGCGAATCCATGCAAGAACAATCTGACTGTCGAGAAAGTAAATCGTTCTTTCGAATTTCAAACGGGTTTCCTCCAAAATGGATTTACTCAACCGAGAGGCAAGGACTGCTCCTTGTAACTTTAAACGTGGGATCGTTAGTTGCTTTAATGGGGATACCCTCGACTTTGCTGCGATGAAACGTACGCCAAAACTTCCATCCGCTAATTTCCATCGTATGTACGAACAGGCACCAAAAGCTTCCACGGAAGCATCCGAAAACGTGCATAACACGGGTTGTTCAATTGCATTCAGTGGTGTAAGACATCTTTCGAAGCATAGGCTATTCAGACATGACAGTTCGTGAAACAAATTATTCCAGAACTCTTGTAAATCAAAGGGAAGTTCGTCATCCCAATCAAGTCCTTTCTTCCATAGATGTTGCATGCCAATCTTTGCACGTATAAGAAAAGCTGAAGCTAATCCGATGGGATCAAAAACACGCGCGATTCGACTAAGGACTAACCGCTTTGTCAGCTTTTTTGGCTTCGTACTGGCGTTCTGGATTTCTCTTGTGTGGAGCTTTAGCTTATCATTTTGATGGTCCCATTCAAGTCCAAGAACCTTTTCTATCGGACTTTTCTCTCGATCAGACTTCACAACTTGTTTTTCCGATGATTGGTTTTCTTCACCCAGATTGCAATTTGATATTCACTCTTTCACTGCAAATCCACCTATTGCCAAAACCTCGTCTACGTCACGGGTAAGCTGCCGAGCCTCCTCATTTGTTTCCAGTGAATCACAAATATCGTCCATATACGTGTTGTTTTTCAAAACCTTTGCAGCTTTCGGGTACACTCCTTCTGATTCTTGCGCGGTCTTTCTTAGAGCGATCTGCGCCATCGCTGGGGCAGGCTTGTCGCCAAACGTCAAAACCGTTTTCACGCAAGTGTCGGGATCACGTTCAGTTTCCAAATTTCTCCAGATAAATCTATGCACTTGCTGATCAACTTCCGCTATTAAGATACGGTGGTACATTTTCGAAATGTCCCCTAAAACAGCAGTTCGACTTTCACGAAAACGGAGTAAGACACCAAAAAGGTCGTTCAAAAGATCGGGTCCTTTCATCCAATAGTCATTAAGCTTATGTCCTTGATAAACTGCAGATGAATTAAAAACAATCCGTAGAGGAGTACTTTTGCTTTCGGGTCGTAAGACTTCGTGATGTGACACATAATGCACCGGGCCGTTGTACTGGTTAAGTTCTTCTTCTGATAATTTTCTCGAGAAGCCGAGTTTATTCATGTCGACCATCTCTTTATCATATGCGGTTGCATGTTCTTGATTCTTCAAAAGTCGTCGCTCTGTCGCCTGCAACTTCCTTTCCGCTTGCTCTCTATTATCTGGTAATTCGTATGGATCTCTTTTCCATGGATATGATATAAGCCACTGTCGGTTTAACTTTTCACAAGAATCCTCGATCACTTTCGCTTCTTTTCTTTCGATAGGGCTTAGCTTTTGCGGCTCACAAAAGCATGGCTTGACAGAAACTCCCATTGACTCGGTAGACCAAAACTCGGTCATGTCTACGGGTGTCGCGAACTTCACGTGATTTACTCTGTTGGTTCCAAGTTGCTGACTAGTTGTAGCACCGAAGATCACCCAACCTAGAGGGGAATGGCGTGCCACAAGATTTTCTGCTTCTTTCGTTTCTCCGGTATGGAGCTTCGCTTGATCGATACCAATCAACAAGTCCGTATCACCAGTTCCTCTTCGAATGTCACCTCTTGATAAACCAAACTTTCTGATTACCTCATCTATTTTTACAACGGAAATTTCATCACTAACAGAGG